TTAAAAGATCACCTCATCTTGTCTGTGACTATATTAACTTGATTTGGGAGCTTATTTAAGTTTAAAGCACGAAAAACAAAGAACCATTTATTTCTAATAACAATATAAATGCTAAATTTACCTCTAAGTGGATAGAACAGAAATATTCTAGTCACCTACTTGCAGATATCCCTGTATGTCTGGATTGCTGTATCCATGTAATGGGCAGGGTATGGCCTAGGTGCACCTGGCTGAAGAAAAGCTGACACTGCTGCCATTTCCTAGAGAAAAAGACATTATTTATACTACTTCAAAAGGGGAAATATTCTTGTAGTTTAGCATTCAGGAAGCCTAAAAACAAATGAAAATCAAGACGACCTAGTAAACACTTTGAGTTAGGGCATATGTATCTACCACGTGAGCCTAGCTTAAGATTTCTGCGACTACCTCCTCCCTAGTCTTTCCTCTTCCTCAGTAAGTAGAGAGCAGACCAATGACAGAACCATAAAGAGACAAAATTGGCATCATAATATGCAAACAGCTCACGACAGCTTGCACTATATGTATTTTCAACTATTTTCATGCTCTAGTTTATATCCTATATCATACAGAAGGCACAAAGACCATTTATTTCTTAGACTTAACGTTACTGTCAATTTTCTAGGTCTTTTTATTTCATTTTCAAAACCCATTCTCTTGTCAATGTCGATCATTTTAGTTAATAATTCAATGACATACAATTTAAAATAGTAATAACAGATTTAGAAATGAAGATTAAAATACAGGTTTTGGCTTTCTTAGTAAAATATCCTACTATGTCCATACTTATGCTCTCTTATAGACAAAGTTTTAATAAAAATTTAACTAGAAAGAAATGAAACCTTCAGAAATTCAGGGGAAAAAACTGCTAATGTCAATCCACTTTTAGGATGAATAAATGTATTTCTCTGCAACATTTAAAAAAAAATACAGAAATAATTGTCTAAAAACTGGAATATGATTAAAGCCTTTAACTTGACAGAATATGAGTTCCATGACAATATGATCCATATGTTTCAGAATACCTC